AGTACTTGCACTTGAGTTGGCGAAAATCAATCTTGAGCAGACTAGGAAACAGAGGGCATATGCCAAGGAAGAGTTTGATAGGGAAAAAGAAAGAGGGCATTTTCTTAAGTGTAAATGACTCAGTTTACAGAAAGCAGTACAGTTGGTCCCCCGCTTCAATGAGGCAAAACCAGAACAATTTTTCGAAACTTCGAAAATCAGGCTCGACCTTGTGGCCGGAACAGCACTGGGCGTCATGGTTTCACACAGCTTTGTTTGGTAAGGCACAGGATTTACGTCAGTGTTAAATGACACTGATTTTTTGCCAATTATAAAGTCGTGAAGACCACAGTTCTGGGAGCCATATCAATGAAAGCCCAGCTAAGTATAGGAAGTCATTCAAGTTAGGTAGGGACAGCTTGATCAATCCCTGGTGGATTTCGTGCGACAGCAGACCAAAGCTTTTACCAGCGGGAAAAAAGGAAAGTGGTGTTGCTACCTTCGAAGATCTTGTGCAGCTAATCCTGGCGTTTACCTGGAGAGAGTTCCGGGGGGTCAATAAATAAAAAAGGCACAATACCGTGACTGGAACAATACACAAATAACCCGCACATAAAAGGAGAAGCTTACGACTTTGTCCATGGTCCAAGTCGGACCAAAACTTTCGTCGTAAGCTTCTCTCTTTTATGTGCGGGTTATTTGTGTATCCGGGGGTCAACGCCCCCGCGGCCCGGTCGTGACCAGGCCTCCTAGTGGATCAGAGCCTGATCAACCAGGCTGTTTACTACTGGCTGCACGCAAACCAAACGTACGAGCCACACCCCGGCTGGTCAGGTACCGACTTAGGTGCTTGTCCAGTGCCTGCTTGAAGACAGCCAGGGTCTATTGGTAATCCCCCTTATGTATGCTGGGGGGCATTTTGAACAGCCCTGGGGCCCCTGACACTTATTGTATTGTCTCTTAACGTGCTAGTGACACCCCTGTTTTTTCATTGGGGGGATGTTACATCGTTTTGCCAAGTCTTTTGCTTTCGTAGTGAGTGATTTTCGTGTGCAAGTTCGGTACTAGTCCCTCTAGGATTTTTCAGGTGTATGTAATCATGTATCTCTCCCGCCTGCGTTCCAGGGAATACATGTTCAGGAACCTCTAGCGCTCCCAGTAATTAAGGTGTTTTATCTCTTTTTATGACGCCATGAAGGTTCTCTGTACATTTTCTAGGTCAGCAATTTCACCTGCCTTGAAAGGTGCTGTTAGTGTGCAGCAATATTCCAGCCTAGATAGAACAAGCGACTTGAAGAGTGTCATCATGGGCTTTGCATCCCTAGTTTTGAAAGTTCTCATTATCCATCTTGTCATTTTTCTAGCAGATGCGATTGATACAATGTTATGGTCCTTGAAGGTGAGATCCTCCGACATGATCACTCCCAGGTCTTTGATGTTGGTGTTTCGCTCTATTTTGTGGCCAGAATCTGTTTTGTACTCTGATGAAGATTTAATTTCCTCGTGTTTACCATATCTGAGTAATTGAAATTTCTCATTGTTGAACTTCATATTGTTTTCTGCAGCCCACTGAAAGATTGGTTGATGTCCGCCTGGAGCCTTGCAGTGTCTGCAATGGAAGACACTGTCATGCAGATTCGGGTGTCATCTGCAAAGGAAGACACGGTGATGTGGCTGACATCCTTGTCTATGTCAGATATGAGGATGAGGAACAAGATGGGAGCGAGTACTGTGCCTTGTGGAGCAGAGCTTTCACCGTAGCTGCCTCGGACTTTACTCTGTTGACTACTACTCTTTGTGTTCTGTTTATGAGGAAATTATAGATCCATCGACCAACTTTTCCTGTTATTCCTTTAGCACGCATTTTGTGCGCTATTACACCATGGTCACACTTGTCGAAGGCTTTTGCAAAGTCTGAATATATTACATCTGCATTCTTTTTTGTCTTCTAGTGCATCTAGGATCTTGTCGTAGTGATCCAATAGTTGAGACAGACAGGAGCAACCTGTTCTAAACCCATGTTGCCCTGGGTTGTGTAATTGATGGGTTTCTAGATGGGTGGTGATCTTGCTTCTTAGGACCCTTTCAAAGATTTTTATATGGGATGTTAGTGCTATCGGTCTGTAGTTCTTTGCTATTGTTTTACTGCCCCCTTTGTGGAGTAGGGGTATGTTTGTTGTTTTTAGTAACTGTGGGACGACCCCCGTGTCCATGCTCCCTCTCCATAGGATGGTAAAATCTCGTGATAGGGGCTTCTTGCAGTTCTTGATGAGCAAGGAGTTCCATGAGTCTGGCCTGGGGCAGAGTGCATGGGCATGTCATTTATCGCCTGTTCGAAGTCATTTGGCGTCAGGATAACATCAGACATGCTTGTGTTTACCAAATTCTGTGGCTCTCTCATAAAAAAATAATTTTGATCTTCGACTCTCAGTCTGGTTAGCGGCTTGCTAAAAACTGAGTTATATTGGGGCTTGAGTAGCTCACTCATTTCCTTGCTGTCATCTGTGTAGGACCCATCTTGTTTAAGTAGGGGCCCAATACTGGACGTTGTTCTCGACTTTAATTTGGCATAGAAGAAGAAATACTTTGGTTCTTTCGATTTCATTTATAACTTTTAGTTTTTCCCGCGATTCCTGACTCCTATAAGATTCCTTTAGCTTAAGTTCGATGCTTGCTATTTCTTTGACAGTAACTCCCTACGCATTTCAGATATATTGACCTCTTTTAGCCGCTCTATCATTCTTTTTCCGTCGCCTGTAAAGGGAGCGCCTTGTCTCTTTCTATTTTACATCTACTCCTCCTTTTTCTTAGAGGAATTAGCCTTGTGCATACATAGAGTGCCACCGAGTTAATGTGTTCTAGGCACAAGTTGGGGTCTTGTTGCTTAGTCTAACTTCCCAGCTTATATCGGTTAGGACTTCGTTTACTTGGTCCCACTTTATGTTTTTGTTATTGAAGTTGAATTTGGTGAATTTTCCCCCGTGACTAATCTCATTATGTCGGTCTGGGGCTCCGCGCATACATGTCTGAACCTCAATTATGTTGTGATCTGAGTATATTGTTTTTGATAAGGTGACATTTCGAATCAGATCATCATTGTTAGTGAAGATGAGGTCTAGTGTATTCTCAGTCTAGTAGGCTCTATTATTTGCTGGTTTAAATTGAATTTTTGTGCATAGATTTAAAAGCTCGTGTGTGTGTGAGTTCTCATCAGAGCTGCCTCCTGGTGTTATTACTGTAACAACATTATTTGCTATATTCCTCCATTTTAGGTGCATTAAGTTGAAATCCCCCAGGAGCAAGATGTTGGGGGCAGAGGGCAGATTTTCCAGACATGGTCTTTTTTAACAGCTGTTTCCTGAATTTCGGGGATGTTGCACCGGAGGCTTGAGACTACCAAAATGACTGGGTTTTGGTTCTCGATCTTTACTGCTAAAATTCCACTACATCATTTGGGGCATTCGCAGTTCTGTGCAAACAATGACTGCAATGTCAGGCCAACCCCCCCCCCTCCCCTTTTGCCTGTTACCCCTGCCCGCATCTGAAAGGGTTTTAACCGGGGATCCATATTTCGTTGTCCAAGTGATCCTTTATGTGGTCCCAGTGAAAGCCGTGAACTTTGCATTTGCCTCTGAAAGCGCCCTATCGACAACCTGCTGGGTCTGGAACCAAGGTAGAGCTTTCAGTTGTTTTAAAATTTCCCCCCCCTTTACACCCGGATAACAGGTTTTTGGGATTCCGGGGTTTTGTAATCTT